TATTCAGTTATATTCAGATGGCTTTCAGGACATCTCCTTTCTGATCTGGTATTAAAGGATAGTCCTACACCTTTCTTATGGCTTTGTAGTGTAAGATGATTTTCAGAATGTCCTTTTTTAATCTTGGAGAGTGTTATTTGATTCATGATTATGTACATTTATATTACAATAAACTAGGTCCCAGAATTGTCTTACATTTTTTTTTAAAGCAAAAATTTTAAGTTAAATTTCTATTACAGAAAAGGCATTTTCAAAAACATCAGTCCTCTGGCCTGACCCCTGCCCAAGCTAGGTCACTGGAGATCTGTCAAGGATCTGGAGAGTTTCTGCCACCAAGAGGGATGGAGGAGAGTCTCTCACTTCCCAGAATCTTGGCACCCTAGGCCCTTCTCTTATTTGGAAAAGAAGTCAGAAGCCCAGTGGTAATCACGTCCTGCCTCTGGGCAGCTGAGTCTGGGCCTTGGCTTTGGCAAGTCCTCCTCTGCTGTTGTCATCACCCAGCAGCAGCCCTTGGCTCTCTCTGGTCTGGTTCTAGAGATGCTCTGAGTTGTCAGGGGAAGTCAGATAGTAATAGTGTCCATGCTGGCTGGATCCAGTATTAGAATCAGTTGCTATATTAGGCTATTGTCTTTGCAAGCACAGAAAAGTAGATATCAGGAATGAGGGAGAGAGGGACAAGTGGGAAAAGAGAGATATTTATGAATCTGTGTGCTAGAGTGTTTGGGGTATGTTCAGGAAGGATTAAAGAACCAAGTAGCAAGTGTAGCCTCTTAAAGATAACACTGAAACATTTTGCTTAGAAATGGATTAGACTGAAACATTTTCTACCCAGAGATATTTGACTTAAAAGATTATTAGAAGAGGAAGTCCATTATCACACTAGACAGCTCCAGTTTCATGAAGATGTACAATACTTGTTAGAACTGTTCAGCTTTGTGATTAATATTCCACAACATTAGGAAGCTCTTTTCATCTGGATTATTGATATTCTTGGAATTAACCTAGAATCGTTTTTTTCTCCCCTACTTTTAAGAATATTCGAATAAAGCAAATTTTAGAGTAGATTCACTGAAGGACTTTTTAGAATTTTTTATTTAGGAACACAAAGTGAGAAAGATTTAGTTATTAAAAGATAGTACCCTAGAGATACTGTTAGCAAATCCTCGTTTCTATTAGGAGTTAATTCCATTTACTAGAGGGAAGTATCAAAATGATATGTATGTAGCTCTAGCTACATGCAAGTGGCGGAACAGCTTAAAAACCCAGGTCTGAGTTTCTAGCCAATGGCAGAGGGAACAAACGATAAATCCCAGTATTCTAAATAGCACTTTGTAATAGTAAAGGCTTATGACCATAGAAGCCAGCCAGAAACTAGTGCCAGCTGAGTAAATCAGCAGTCAAGTAGGAAGATACAATGTTTTAATCAATGCCTGAGAGATCCCCTTTAGACACTGTGTTAATGAAACAGTAAACTGAAAAGATGGGCAGAGTGCCATGAGACTGTGCTTTGTACACAGTGACAGCCCCAGTGCCTGGACCACAGCGGGCACGTAGTAAATCCCCATGAGGATTAATGAAAGCGCAGAGGAAGAAAGTAAACAAATGTAAGAATAATATAGTGTCAGAGGGAAAAATAATCTCCAAGAGTGAAGAAGAGTGCATTTTAAAACACAGGAAACTGGGTGATTGGACAGGTGCGGTCACTGCCTGCTGCTTTGCCTCACTTTCCCATCTGTTAGTACCACTCACTGAAGGTCCTGGCTTATTCATCTTTGAATCTGGGCACATAGTAGTTATCGTTTATTGAAAAGCTAGGGTTTGCAAAGCACTGTTCTTGCCTGCACATTATTCAACCCTGGGATGTGATTCACATTTCAGAAATAAACAGAAGCTCAGGGAGGTTAAATCGCTTGTCCAAAGCCGCACTGTGGAGCTGGGATTCCAGCTCAGAACTGTGTGACTCTAGTTCTTACACGCCTCATCTTCAGACCAGACTCTAGGTGCTCAGTCAGTGTGTATGCAGTGTTTAAAAAAAGAAGAGTAGGTATCAGAATGAATTCACCAAGGAGATGGCATTGAGCTTAAATAAAAGTAAGATTTGGATTTGGTGAAATGGGCAGCGTTGGTGATGAGAGATAGAGTATTCAGGCAAAAGGGACAATCAGTTTATAAAAAGTAAAAACACAGAGGCATAGACAGAGTATAAGAGTTCTGGTTTTCTGCCACAGAGGATATATTTAAAGACTAATAAAGGATAGTAATTTGGGTCTAGCTTGCAGAGGGCCTTGGATGCTAACCTGAGATGCTTGGATTTTGCTTTGGAGACAGGATCAATTCATCAAAGATATTTTTTTTTAGCAAGAAAGAACCTTACAATCAGAAATGTTGACCTAGAATTTGGAAGAAAGTTCAGGACTAATGACATCTTGAGCATACTTACCTGAAACTCAGAGAGTAATGCTCTTTTGGTTGAGAATGAACTGAAGAGTCCGTAAGTAAGAGCATTTTCCAAGTAGCTGAACTGTAGGACTTGATCATAGAAGGATGATTGGCTGGTTTCAATATTCATGGTAACGCGTGCAAATACTGCTGCTGTCAAACAAAAAATAATGCAGGAGGCTGAAAATAAGAGAAGAGTTTATTTGGGGTCTTAAGAATTACAATTCGGGAGACACAGATTCAGTAACCTCAAAAGAGTGTTCCAAGGAAGAGAAAGAGTCGGGGGCTTATAAAGACAAAAAGCCACGAGGTTGTTAAAAGTTGCCTGATGAGAATTATGATTGACACTGACACGTCAGAAAATATTTGTCACACATTGATTTAGGGTAGGGGACTGATGAGTGGATAGACAGTCATGAGTTATTTTAACGCAAGGGTTCGATAAATATCTTGAGTTTCTGGCAGGTATCCTGGATGACTAAATCAGGTCAAAGGTCATCCCGGCTGAGCTATGCCTAAGTAGCACTTCCTTCATGGCCACCTGGCTCCAGTTTTGAGAGCTCCCTTAGCAATACTGACTCGATTTCAATTTTCATTTCACGTAGCTGACAAATAGATGACATGTTTATGGTGTCATTGCTTTCTCTTGGCATTTGATTGGCATATGGGCTTTAGAAAAACCTTAGAATGTGAGTGTTTGTGTCTATGTAGTTTACAATTTCTACTCTGGTTTTTCCTGACATAAAACTAACTCCTGGGTGTTTTCAAGTCAGCTCATCTCTACACCATCACATAACCAGGCACCTATCTTTGGGGTAACTTTTCTTTCCAGGGTCATCACTGGGGTTAAAGTACATCATTTTAGTTTAGTCTACCATAGTCCTGAAGTTTTGTTTTTTTTTTAAAACATCCCTTTTTGTACTTTATTTATGCTATCACTAGATACAACAACTTGCTTTCCTCCAACCACAAGTTGTCTTTTTAATAGTTTGCTTTTGGCTTTGTATAACTGAAGTAATGGACATTTTCCCCACAATATGCTTTCCCCCCACTCAACATTATATTCTTGAGATCATTTATATTGTAGATCACATATTATTCCATTGTGTGAATACACTGCAATTTACCCATTCTGGTAATGATGGGCATTTTTTGTTATTTTGCACAGTGCTGATCCACATACATATATATATATATCTTCTCATGCAAATAGATGAGGGTTTCTCTAGAGCAGTGGTTCTCAAACTTGATCATGCATCAGAATCACTTGGAGGGCTGTTTGAAAACAGATTGCTGGGTTTATTTTGTCAGATTCAGAAGGTCAGGTGGGTGGGTCCCCATTTCTAAAAAGTAGCCAGTGATCTGTTAATTTGAAAACCAACTGCTTCAGAGTACAGTCAGCCTTCCATATCCGTGGGTTTAGCATCCACAGATTCAACCAACCATGGATCAAAAATATTAAGGAGAAAATAATTCCAGAAAGTTCCAAAAAACAAAACTTGTATTTGCCTGGCTCCAGCAACTTATTTACATAGAATTTACATTGCATTTATAACTATTTACACATTTACATTATATGAGGTATTATAAGTAACCTTGAGGTGATTTAAAGTATTCAGTGGAGGCTGTGCTAGGTTTTATGCAAGTATTATGCCATTTTATGTAACAGACTTGAGCATCTGCAGATTTTGGCATCTGTGGAGGCTCCTGGAACTAGTCCTCCAAGGATACCAAGGAGCAGCTGTATGGATCTAGCTGCAGGATTGCTGGAGTGAAATAGAGAATGCAAATGTTCGCCTTCAATAGGTAATCCTAGATTGCTTGCCTGCCCGCAGTGTGAAAGACAACTGTCAGGCTTACATTTTTGCCAGGCTAGTGGGTGTTAATGGTATCTTATTATGTGGCCTGAAAAGGAAATCTGTATGCCTTTTTTTTTTAAATATGAGAACTTTCAGAATATGTAAAACTTGCCCATTTTAAGTAAAGAATGTTATCCAGGACACAGGATACACATACACAGAGTATTCCATAGAGAAACCTGTGTGTGCTGATTCAGTTCAGTTTCAGTCCCTTAAGAAGAATCTTAGATAATTATGGAAATTTCTTACATTTTTATTCTTCCACTGGCCTTAAAAAGAAGTCCAAGGAGAAATTCCACTGTAGTGAGAAGACTTGTTTAAATCGAACATGCTGCTTTTAATTGAGAAATGTTTCTCCTAATTAGTGCAGAAGGCTAACTGGGAAAAGCTGATTAGATACCACAGTAGTTTTATTGCATTCCTCAGAGAAACTCCTTGGATGCCAGATTCAAGCTGACTTTTTGGTTCCACAGTTCACATTCTAGATGAGCAGTTACTGCAGAGTTGACCCCATCATTTAGAAATGTTGCTTTCAAATTACCATTCAAGCAAATATGCGTCAGGGTCCTGCATGTCAGGCGGTGGCTGAGCTCTCACCGAGGTGTGGGGCACCCAAGAGCCTGCATCCCAGGACTCGGGGTTCACTGGGGTTTGGCGTCTGTTGTCTGTGTCCCTGGGTGCTGATGGCTGCCTGTCTTTCAGCTTTCATGACGCTGGTGATCATACTGCTGCACGTGTTCTGGGGCATTGTGTTTTTTGATGGCTGTGAGAAGAAAAAGTGGTACTCCCTTCTCGTGGTTTTTCTGACCCACCTGCTTGTGTCAGCCCTGGTGAGTATTGCCGCTGTGCTCAAACTGTGTTTTGGAGCTCAAGTCTGCATATCTAAAGTGGTAGATTCCACTCTAAATGAGATATGTGTTCCTGGGAAAATGAGGAAATTCAAAACAGTCATTGAAGAGAATGAATAAGTGATCAATAGATAAATCATCTAGGTCTTACCATAGAAAGATACCTATTAATTTGCTGGTTGATCTAATACAAGTTTTTTGTTTTTTTTTTGGTTTATGTCTTCTAATGGGTATGGTCAAACCTGAGGTAGTCTTCCATTATATTTTGCTTATGTTGTGTAATATGTCTTAGGTAATTTCCGTGTCATTATAAATCCTTATAATATTTAAATTTTAATGACTTTATATCATTACATAAAAATTATATTACAGTTTGCTTAACATATGCTTGGTCCCTTGTTTTTCTACTTTTCGCATTTCATGTATTTTCTAAGCACTACTTAATGTTTTGGTCTGACTTGAATTGTAACTAGTCTTGTATTTACATCAGAACTATCCCTGCCACTGCCTGGTGCAGACCTCTGTCATTTCTCACCTGAAGTATGAAAGGCTCCTTCTGAGGTGTCCTGCCTCGTATTTCCCTCCTCTCCATCCATTTAGAGTTTATATCAGGTTTTCTTATGCTGGGTTCTTGCCCTCTGATCCATCTAAAATGCAGTCTTGTTGCCTTCACTACCTAAAATCTTTCGGTGGTACAGGATACCAAAGTTACCCTTAGTGTGAGGTCAACTATATAAAGCCAAATCTTCATGGAAGAAAGACTGGAGAGAGAGTGCCTTAAAATATTAACAGCATTTATCTCTGGGTAGATTCTTTGATTCTTCATAGACTTTTGGCATGCTCCAAATTTTCGACTACGTGCACTTTTATAATCAGAAAGGAAGTTACAAGAAAAAGCACATGTCTTTCTTAGGGATCCAATTGACTACTCACTCATTCGGCAAGTATTGAGTGCCTTCTAAGTTCCAGGCAGTGTTCCAGGTGAGCAAGACAATTTGGTGAACAAAACAAAGATCCCTGCTTTTACAATCTAGTGGAGAGAGAAAGGCGATAAGCAATAGACATAATAAATAAAAAACTGTGCAGTATGTTAGAAATTGATAGGTGCTGTGGGAAAACAGGAAAAGCAGAGCAGGTTGAGGGGGATCCAGAGTGTGGGGGCTGGGGATGTTGACTTTTTGAACTAGGTAGTCAAAGTAGGCTTTACTGTGAGGGTGACATTTGAGCAATGAAGTGAAGTAAAGTTGGTCATGTGGCTGTCTGGGGAAAGAGCATCGCGGACTAATCAGCCAGTGGCAAAGTCCTAAGACTAGAAAACATGCTTGGCATGTTTACGGAAGCGAGGGTGGCCAGAACAGAGTGCGCAGGGGAAGCTAGTAGGAGATGCTGTCACAGATTTGAAGTTGGGGAGGGCAGTAGAGATTGGGGGTGAGAACCACGTCTAGATAATGCAGGACTTGGGCTTTTAACTCTTCAAGAAATGGGAGTTATTGTAAGGTGTCAGCCCTGGTGAGTAGAGGGAAGTGATTTGAATCCTGTTTTAAAGGGATCGCTTTGCTGTGTTCAGAGTAGACTGTAAAGGGGGAAGAGATGACAGTCATCAAGAGAAGGATGGTGACAACTCAGGTGAGATAGCAGCGGAGATAATGAGAAATGATCAGATTCAGGACACATTTTTGAAAGAGCCAATGGTATTTCCTGATGGACTGGATAAGGCATGAGAGAGAAAGAAGAGGAGCCAAGGATGTCTCCAAATTTCTTGGCCTGGACAGCTAGACAGATGGACTTGTCATCAGCTGGGATGGGCAGGCCTGTGAGGGAGATCAGGAGTTCTCTCTGGGCACAGTACCTTGCAGGGCCTACTGGGCATCCAAGTGGGGATGTCAGTTAGGCAGCTGGATGAGAAAGTCTGGAGTTAGGGAGAGAAATCCAGGCTAGAAAAGATGATTACAAAGAGTAAGTATAAGCAGACAAGAGAAGAGGCCCGAGGACTAAGCCCTGGGACATTCCAACCTTGAGGCTGGGGCAAGAGGAGGAGACTGTGAAGGAGCAGCTGAGTGAAGTGGGGCGGAAACCAGGAGCCAGGTGTCCTGAAGCCCAGTGCTCCGGGGGGAAAGAGTGGTCCGCTGTAGCAGACGCCGGTGGAATAAACTTCCAGACTTTTTAGACTTTAGCCTATTACTGATCTTACCGGTGAGATCACAAAGGAGCTCCCTTTCTCCACATCTGATGGACATTTTTCTTTTTTCATCTCCGCAGCCTGTAGAAAGAGTTGGCCACCCCTCTTTGAAACATTTCCTCTTCTGACTTGTGCATCAAGCCGTCCTGGTTCCCTCTTCCCTCACTGTTTCCTCTTCTCAGACCTCTTTGCTGACTCTTTTTCAATTAGAGTCAAGCCAGTGGGGTGGTCTTGACAGTTTTAATTTGCTCCTTGATGCTAAACAGGATAGTTTATAAATGTCCTCAGGGCTTGGGCTCGACCTCTGTTTTCCCTTCTCTTTCCAGTAGCGCCCTGGGTAATCACATTCATAGCCATTTCTTTAATGCCGTTTGTGGACTGTGCTTCCATGCTTGTATCTTACTGCTTACTTGACATCTGCCTTTTGAAATCTCACAGGCGTGTTATTCTTAGCATTTCCTCTTTAGACGCAAATCTCGCCCATCACTCCAAGCTTACTCTTTCCCCATGTCTTTCCTGTCTCATGAGATAGCATCACCATTTACCTAAGGCCAGAAACATGGAAGTCATTCGTGACCTTCCCTTTCTCCACATTCCATCCATCAGCAAGTCCTCTCAGTTCACATCATCCACTCTCTCCACCTCTCCCACCACCACCCTGGTCTAAGTCCCCATCCTGTACCCTCCTGTTCCAGTGCAAAATCTTCCTAACTAGCCTCTCTGCTTTCACCAGATCCTCCTTTAATCCATTCTCTGCAGTTTTAAAAATCTAAAATCATTCAGCTCCCTGACCTAAAACACCCTTCTGTGACCCTCCATTGCACTGAGGATAAAACCCACTCTCCCTGCCAACGTGCTACTAGTCCCAACGTGCTGGCCCCTGCCTTCCTCTCTTACCTCATCTCTGGTGCTTCCTCTCCATCTAGACACATTGTTAATATGGCCGCTCAGGCTCTCAGCTGCACTGAACTCCTTGCCCACCATTGGTTCCCTCCCTCAGTCTACACAGGCTGGCTCACTCCTCCTGCATGTCTCAGTTTCAGTGAACCTTCCTTGACCACCCTAAGTGGATCATGTTGTTCTTACCTATGCTGGCACCATCTCAGTTACAGTTATTCTGTCCTAGCATTCATCACAATTTGTAACTATTTATTTGTTTCTTCATTCATTACTGTCTCCCTTACTAGCGTGTAAGCTCCTTTAGCACGTTGATCAGCTCCGCGGATCAGGTGCCCCTGGGGAAACCCAACTGTCACCCAGATTTGGGTGACGTGACGATCAGCGCGTTAGGATAGGCACTGTGGTCTGCACTGGTACCTCTTGGCATCTCGCCAGTGTTTTTTAAATGAACTTTTGGAACCCACAGCAATTGTGTAGCTGAAAAAGGGATGCCCTTTCCTCAAGTTCCCTTGAATACTAAGGATTTATACTGAAGTATCTTGTCTCACTTGTTTTACAAATTCTAAGAGCCAGGTAACAGAGAAATATTATAAACTGGGCCCAGGTTATGTAGCATGTGTCTTCTGTTGGGTATTTCATTAGGTCTGGCTTTTGATTACCTTCTAGAGTTGCCATTTGAACATAGTAAAGCAGAGATCTCCGGGCTAGTGTCTGTTGACGAGGTTAGTCGTCTCTCTGTGGGTCCTGGCGCTCTTCAACACATGTTTCGTGAAGCACACCTCGGCTATTGAAAGTGTTTCCTGTTTTCCCTGATCTTTAGTTATTCCACATGTTTAATAAGCTTGCTGTTACTACCCGAGCTGACTTACTTTCCCTCTGCAGACCTTCATAAGTCCACATCATGGCTTAAACCTGGTGTCAGCGTACATCATCATGGTGCTCACGGGCACCTGGGCGTTCTTTGTTTCTGGAGGCAGCTGCCGAAGCCTGAAGCTCTGCCTGCTCTGCCAGGACAAGGACTTCCTCCTTTTCAACCAGCGCTCCAGATAACCTCCGAGGACCAGCCCTTCGCAAACAGTAAGCTGCGTCTTTAGAGGAAGCACAACTGTGCCTTTTTCTAAAAATCCCTTTTCCTGGTGAAATTTAGAAAAGACAAAACTATCTAGATATGATGTGGCTTTCATGCAGTGGCTTTCTGAAAGGGATGCACGAGTGGTGTGCAGCTGGCTTAATTTAAGAATCACCTGGGGAGACGGAAGGTAAACTGATTTCTGGGCTCCACCCTCCAGATTTAATTGTCTGGACATATGGTAATTTTTTTAAAGCTTCTTAGATGACTCCGATGTGCAGCCAAGTTGAGAACCATCGATGTCCAAATAGGAACTTCCTGAGAATACCATAAGTAAGAAAGAATGGTATGTTTAGCCGTCTCCTCACTCAGTTGAGCAAGTAAATATCTGAATGTCAAATCCTAGTTAGCGTTTGTCTTTTTCAGTTCTGAAGTCTCCAGATGCTAAAGGGCTGTCATCTCTGTGAGCTGTTCTCACGTACTCCGCCAGTGCCGTGTTGTATGAGAGCACGGCGGGCTGTGCTTCTAACTACAGTAATTAGTTGCACTGACTTACTGTGGTATTTCAGCCAAAGTCAGCTACTGCTTATTAAGCGATATTTTTCTGTAGTTTTTCCATTCTTGATTTTGCTTTTTTTGGAGGCATTACATTGTTTTTGAGCATAGATTTGAGCATAAACAATTATTTCCTGACTTCCTGGGAAGATATTATAAAACCAAGAATTTGTGTGCATCTTCTGTTAGTCTTCCCTGGGTTTAAGGCTTCTCATGGGCTCTGCCCCAAGGCGGTGTTTACCAGCTGAGTTCCAGCTGCCGGACCAGTTGGGCTGAAGCCCGTTGTTCTATCGCTGAGCCGTTCTGCAGGTTGCTGAGTGATGCGTCCTGGGACCGGTTTCACTGGAGCCGGTACAAGTTTACTAAAAGCAGGAGGAAAACGAGCCAGGGTGGGGTTGACACTTCCAGTTAGCTCCTGGAATACTAACTAGCACTTCCCCCCAAAATGGTATAATGGAAAATTGGAAATGTGTCTTAAATTGCCAAATTCATGCTTTTACATAATCCGTATAATCTTTAGACATAGTAAATGTCTCTGGATTTTGGACATAGCATTCCCTTTACAGGAGTATCTAAGGTGTTTGTTCAGCTTCCGATCAACCCTTTTGGTTCCTCTCGTAAAGAAGAATTGTGCCTTTGCTGACTAGAAATTGTTCTCAGTTGGTGGTTTAGTTGGTGGTTTTTAGGGAGCTGGTGGTGTGTGAAATGGAAATTGCCTACACATTAAAGTGAGAACCTCAGTGAATCCCATATGTACAGTAGAACAGCCAAAAGAAACAGAAGCAGCGGTGAGGGGGCTCACCAGTGGCAGGACAGATGGAAGCATTTGACAGGACTGCGGTGGGAAGAGTAATGGGCACGTTGCAAATGGAAACACGGCCAGTCTTTTGGGCTAGCCACATGTCATTCCAGGGACCAGAACCTTCCATGTGAACTAGACCTTTATGAATGAAATCCCCTCTCATGTTTAAATTATTAGAATTTTTCAATTTAGGGGTTTAAGAAGGGTTTCTAGCAAGGCTGTAACAGTCCCATAAGCAAGGCTGTGAACAGCTCCATAAACAATTATAGTTACTCCCCTAAAGTTTACTTTAGCACTAACAGTAATGCTTCCACTGGGGTCTGCATTTTCCACCTTTATACAAGATTTTCTTTAGACTAGATGAGTCATAGGTAGAGTCAAGGACATAGCAACTGAATAGTGAAATTGTGCAGAGTTGAGGGGGACAAGATACCCATTGAACTGGTCCTCGTTCCTTTTGGAGCATGGTGTTCTTTGATGCACAGGATAAGAAAAGTAGAGTTGGTTATTACTGTTGACTTACACATCTCTTAAATGGATAGTCTGATGAAATAGCTGCTGATCTGTACAGTGTAGAAAAATCTGAGAATATTAATACTACTCATACTTGAGGTCGGAGGATGTCCTTGGAGCATTAGTAGTTTAATATTAAGTAAAGAACCCGGGATATTGTGAAATCTCATTTATAAAAACATCTCGGGCAAGAAGAAAACTTTCTTGGATGGTGAGACTGTTATCTGAGTTCAGGAAATTATTTAATAATCCTTGATTACCCAGAAATAAAGGAGCTTTGCATCCTTACTTGTGGGCATTGCCGTAGTCCGCTTAAGCACTACTGTTGCCAGTAGCCTTGCCTTGCCTGGTGCCAAGGAAGCCCAGCAGGAGAATAGTCTTCCTCTGTCGCTGTGTATATATTGAGATGTGCTTCTTTTTTTTTTTTAATTTTTATTTTTTGCATTTGTTATCTATAATGAGCTTTCTGAGCCGTGATAGCATTTGGAGGGGAGGCGGTGGTGGTAATCTTGTGTGTTCTCCACAAAGGGCCTTCTCAGTTTGGAGGGAATGTGGCTGTATTCCGAACTAACCCTGGAACATGGAGATGGTTGCAGCACTTGACTGCCTTGCCATGTGAATAATAGAGACTGATTTTGCTCTCTAATAAACCTGTATTTATTTTTAACTCATTTGAGTTGGTAGTTGTAACTGGAGTTTCTGTTACCTGGATCCTGGCCTACCCGACTGGCAGCTTTGTAGCAACAGCCCCTGAGCATCTTAGTGAAAGCACGACTGAAAGGAATAGATGGTATCTGTAGACTGAACAGAGAGTGACTTTTCTTCCCAATGTTAATATTTTTCTTCTCCAGCACATTCAGTGTTTGCTGAGAGTGACAGCTAACACATCAAAAATGCTAGGTGACCTTGTCCGTAGAGTTGGTGCAGCATAAGCAGTTGCGACAGAAGTGCCCTCCTACCTGGTACTCTTGCCACTCGCCTCAAACGAGCCCCAAGCCAGGGACTGGTGGTCAGAGTGGGCCTGAGGGCTCCGGGGACGCCAGGCCAGCAGCCCGCCTCGGGCATCGGCAGCCTGCTTCCTGGCAAGAGCTCCTTGTGAGTGCTAGCTTTTTGTTGGCTGCATCCTGGGCCCCAGCATTCCTAACTCCAGGTGGACAAAGTAGATGTCACAACAAAATGATTTTAAAGTTCTTTGCTTAGAGCACCTTGTTTATGATTGCAATGTTTACATTTCTCATTTAATGAAAGGCTTTACTTCATCCCATTAAATTTTAGTGTTTCGAGGGGTGGGCACTGTCTCTGCACCGTATGTATCATTTTATTTGAGTTACACTGTTATGTCTTATATGTTTGTAATATCAGACTTTGCATTCAATACTCAATGCAATAGACTCTTTCCAGACCTGTGTTTTTCAGCGAACAATAAAAAGATTGTTTGTCACTACTTGTTTCTCATGTTTCCTCTTGTTTGGAATAGCGTATCCTTCAGTATCCTGCTCTGGGTTTGTGTTAACTGTGTTAATTGGGTGAAATATCTTCAGGAACCAAGGACTCTTTGGTCCAGCTGATAAGGTAATGGAAAAAGTGCACGCTCCTCAGGTAACAGCCCAGATTCGTGTACATTTTCTTTGGCGCCTCCACACTGACATTGTGGCTCCAGTTAAATTGTGAACTGTTTGGTATTTAGTTGGAGCAGAAATTTCTCGGTGACCAGCCTCAACACATGGAAACCTCCAATGGAAAGAACTGCAAATTTTACCTTCATCTCATTGAAAACGCCGAATAGAAGGAACCACTCAACTGGCGTATGGTCTCAGCCTCGGCAAAAGAACTGGGGGCTTGACACATTCTAAGGTGACGACAGTAGATTATGAGCCCTGAGCAGGTGCTGGCTTTAAGGTCCAATAATTTGTAGGTGGCACTTGTGGCTTGTGTGGGTCATGGTAAATTCTGCTTCTACCTAATAGTAAAACTGAACATACTTTCAGTGCTTGAGCAAAATCAGAGGTGGGGTCTACAGTGTTGAATCAGGGCTTATCATGCGCAGAACATTATGTTAGATATTGAATGAATGGAAAACAACCAGATGGTAGAGATCTTTGTTCCCAGGGAATATATAATCTAACTGCTGAGATTAAAACATATAAATATTACTTTAAGGCAACTACAAAATACACTACAAATTATGATATAATATAAATAGTGCGAATACATAAGGTGATACTTACAAAGTTTTAGGAGTGGATGAAGGGCACCTGGGTAACGGATGTACATCAAAAGGTGGGGACTGAGGACGGAGCTCTGGGGCACTCCAGTTGACAGGTTGGAAAGGGCAGGGAGAGTCGTCACTGAGAAAAGGAGGAAAACCAGGAGGATGAGAGCCAAGAGGAAGCATGTCAAATGCTGCTGAGCAGTGAGGAAGGTGGGGAGTAAGAATTGGTCGTTACATGTGGGGAGGTGGAATTTTCTGGTGACCTTGAGAAGAGCAGTTTCACTGTATGGGTGAACACCTAAATGGAGTAGCTTGTAGACATTGGGAGATAAGGAAGTAGGTGCAGCATATGGCGTATAGATAGCCATGTAATTTTAGTTGGGGAACGGGATGATAGCCTGAGGAGGATGTAGGGGTAAGAGAGGGCATTTCCTCCCCTCCCCTCCCCTCCCCTTTTGTATTGCTTTTTCCCCTATAATGTATAATATATTATAATATATCATATGATACTGTAATAGCATGTTTATATGAAGAGGGGATGATTCAGTGGAAAGGGAGAAGCTGATGCTGCAGGAGAGGGGATATTTGCCAAAGCAAAGGCCCTGAGAGGGAATAGAGTGGAAAGTTTTTAGTTTTAAATGCTTATAGATAAAGCTAAAATGTTTAAAAACAAGCACTTAAGCTTCTAAGAAACTACAAAAAGAGGAGCAAACTAAAGCTAAAATAAGCAGAAGAAAGGAAGTAATGAAGAAAACAGCAGAAATCAAATAGAAGGCAGAAATGGAGAAATCAATAAAACAAAAATCTGGTTCTTAGAGAAAATCAATGGAATTGATAAAGCTCTGGCCTGATTGATAAGGAAAAAAAAGGAAGAGGGCACAAATTATGAATATCAGGAATAAGAGGAGACATCACTACAGACTCTACATTAATAAATAAAAAGGGAATGTTATGGACAACTTAATGCCAGTAAATTACAAACTTGGACGAAATAGATTCCTTTAAAAAAAAAAGGCCTCACTCAAGAAGAAATCGAAAATCTGAATATCCCTTTAGTTCTTCAGACTGTGTTTTTTCTTGCCTCTTAAACATGCCTTGCAATGATTTATTGAAAGCTGGGCATCATGTAGTGGGTAATGGGAAGTGAAGTAAATAGGCCTTTGGTGGAAGTTTTGTGTCAGTCTGGGCCGGAACTGGGCTATATTTAATGTTTGCTGCAGCTCTCAGTACCAGAGCTTTCAGAGTCCCTTAGTGTTCTTGTTTTTGTCTCTCCTCTTGACCTTGGGCTTCCCCACATGCTTCTCCTCAAAGTGAGTCTACGTCTTGCAGCTCTTTAAGCTGAAGTCCACTGTTCTTGCGTTGGAGCCCTGTAGGTGTGGCAGCAGTGGGGACGTGACCTGTAATCTTAGTAGTGAATCTCAGTTTTCCGTTGGACCTACATCCCTCACTAAGTCTCTCTTAGCTCTTTTCCTCCCCTTAGGGGAGACAGGAAGGCTAAAGGGGGCTGGAGTGGGAGAGATGCCCTTCTCCCAGGGGAAGTAAGGCTCTTAGTAGAGCCTTGCTGTCTTTTTTGCTGGAGACAAAAGGCCTTTATTATGGAGAACACTCTGTGCATATTTATCAATGATTAGCCTAACCCTTTCCCTGCCAGGGCCATTGAAGGCTCTCCACTCGAAGAATCTGGTGGGGTCCTGGAGGTAAAACCACTAAAAGTGTGGGGCTCCTAAGACTATATGCTAGTCTTAGGAATTTCTCACTTTTATGCTATTCCATCCTCAGACTCTAGCAGTTTGTCAAAATCAGCATTTAAGTGTCCCTGCCAGCTTATGGCTCCAACAGCTTCTGCTCCAGGTAAGCACACCCAGCTGTGACTCTCTGGATTCACCTGTCTCTCCAGATTTCAGGATGACGGCTTGTCCTGAGACCTCAGTTCTCTGATGGGGTCAAGAAAAGCGATTTTCAGTTTGTTTAATGTTTTCTTATTGTAAGTGTGGGAGTGACAGCTTTCAAGCTCTTTACATGTTGGAGCTAACCAGAAGTCTCCTGTATCTATTAAGGACATTGAATTTGTAGTTTACATAAAGAAATTCCTAGAAGGCTTCAATGAAGAATTCTACCAAACATTAAAAAGAGAGAGAGATGTTATAAGACTGTAGTAATCAAAACAGTATAGTGTTGGCATGAAAACAGACACACAAAATCATCAAACGTCTAGAAGAAAACGTAGGCAGGACTCTTTGACATCGGTGTTAGTAATATTGTTTTTGGTATGTCTCAGGGGAAACAAAAGCAAAAATAAATGGAGCTATGTCAAACTAAAAAGCTTTTGCACAGTGAAGGAAACTGTCAACAAAACAAAAAGGCCACCTGTTGAATGGGGGAAGATATTTGCAAGCAATATATCTGATAAGAGGTTAACACCCAAAATAAACAAAGAACACATTAAACTCAACATCAAAGAAAAAACATCCCAAATAAAAAATGGGCCGAGGATCTGAATAGACATTTTTCCAAGGAAGACAGGCAGAGGGCCAACAGGCACATGAAAAAGATGCTGAGTATCACTAATCATCAGGGAAGTGCAAATCAAAACCACGAGATACCACCTCACACCTGTCAGAATGGCTGCTGTCAAAAGGATCGCAAATAACAAGTGTTGGCAGGGTTGCGGAGAAAAGAAATCCTTATACACTGTTGGTGGGAATGTAAATTGGTGCAGCCACTACGGAAAATAGTACGGAGATACCTCAAAAAATTAAAAATAGAAACGTGAAATAAGTCCTGGGTATTATCCAAAGAGAACAAAAACACTGATTAGAAAAGATATGTGCACCCCTATGTTCATTGCAGCATTACTTACAATAACCAAGATGTGGAAGCAACCCAAGTGCCTATCAACAGATGACTGGATAAAGAAGGTATGCTGTATATATGCCATGGAGTATTACTCAGCCATAAAAAGGATGAAATCTTGCCATTTGTTACAACATGGATGGACCTAGAGGTTATTATACTATGTGAAATAAGTCAGCAGAGAAAGTCAAATACTGTGTGATTTCGCTTATATATGTGGAATCTGAAAAACATGAGCAAAGATAACGAAACAAAACAGAGTTAAAGATGCTGAGAACAAACAGGTGGTAACCAGAGGAGAGGAGGGTGCGGAAAAGAAAGAAATAGGTGAGGGGGATTAAGAAGTACAAACTTCCAGTTGCAAAATAAGTGTCATGGGTATGAAATGCACAGTTTGGGGAATATAGTCAATAATTATATAATATCTTTGGATGGTGACACACTATAACTAGCTTTATCATGGTGATCATTTTGAAATGTATAGGAATACTAAATCACTATGTGGTGTAGGTCAGTTACACTTCAAAAACAAACATACATACAAACTCAGAAAAAGATCAGATTTATGGTTACCATTGGTAGGGAGCGGGTGAAGGGGAAATTGGATGAAAGCCATCAAAAGTTACAACAAACTTCCAGTTATAAGATGAGTAAGTACTAAGGATGAATATAATTAACAAATGAATATAATTAACATGAATATAATTAACACTGCTCTGTGTTCTATATGAAAGTTGGTAAGAGAGTAAATCCTAAGTTCTCATCTCACACACACACAAACTTTTTTTCTATTTGATTATGTATCTATATGAGATGATGCTTGTTCACTAAACTTACTGTGATAATCATTTCATGATGCGTGTAAGTCAAATCATACTCTACACCTTTAATTTATATAATGCCATATGTCAGTTATATCTCAATGCAATGAAAAAAATTGTTGAGAATATGGTGGAAACAGCATTTTGTGAGAAAACAAATCAGTACAATTCTTTTGGGTGGTAATTTAACAAAATCTATTATATCTATTTTTATTTTCGAGATGGGCTTTTTTTTTTTTCTTTTTTGTGAGATGGGCATTTTTCAAACCAGCAGTTCCTTTTCCAGGAAGTAATCCTATAGAAGTACATCCAGCTACCTGAGGATCTTGTAACTGTCTTGTAACCGTAAGGAATTTGCAATAAATGTCTGTCAGAGCTTTACCTCAAATTACAGAGCACTTGACAGCCATTAAAAAGAATGAGGATATTTAGAATATACTGGAAAACAAAAGCGAGGTATAGACCATTCTTCCATTTAATGATTTTTCTTTTGCCAGATATTGTGCTAGGTACCAAGAATGCAATAGTGAAAGTAGGTGGGACCCATTTTATTTAAAGTTTTAAAATGAATGTTAAAATATGCACAAGCATATGTGAAGTCTGGAAAGATTAAATTAAATTATTAGCTCTGACTATTTTGGGAGTTAGGATTCTGGGGGCTTTGACTTTTTCCATAGTTAAATATTTGTATGTTTTTAAGTGAGCGTATGTTATTTATGTAATCAGACAAAACTATAATCTAAGCACTTCCATGATTTCTTTTTGTTTTGATTAGAAGGTGTGTATCGTGCAAGGCCTTTCACACTCTGATCCCAACCGTTTTCCTGCCCCCCCACCTGTCCCTGTCCTCCCCTCCCACACATTCTCAAACACGTCCCTGAGGGAGGCCTCTCTCTACTTACCTAGTTGCAACCAGAAAACATCTTAGTCCCCCTTCAAGGTCCTGCTCAAGTGTCACCCTTTGTGAAGTCTTTCCTGACTAGACTCAAAAAAGCAAGTGGCTTTCTCCACCATGATTCCTTAACACTTACTTTTTTTAAATCAAGGAATAATTTACATACAGTAAGATGCACAAGTCTGAAGCGTACAGTTGGATGAGTTTTGACAAAAGTGTATGCCTGTAACACCACCACCCCAGTCAAGCTCTAGAAAGTTTCCTGTCCCCGTGTGGTTCCCTGACGCTCCTTTCTAGCCACCCCGTCCCCTTCCACAGAGGCAACCACTGGTTCCAACTCCCATCACCATAGGTTGCTTTCACTTGTCTTAAACTTCATGTAAATGGAATAACACAGAATGTACTCTTATGTCTGACTTCTTTCCTCAACATAATTTACTGAGCTTCATCCATGTCTTGGGATATGTCAGTAATCTGCAACTTTTCCTCAATGGTATTCCGTCTTATGGATACGCAGTTTGTTTAGCCGTTCTTCTGTTGATAGACACATGGCATCTTTTCTTACTAGTCTTCTTTATATGATGATCCGTGATTTCTGTTTGTCTCCTCAAATGAGACGGTGATACCAATTATTATTGAGTATCGGTACTCTATCTAAATCATGATTGAATCACTGTCACTTTATCTGTGCTTAGCAGACAGTCATTGCTCATTAAATCTCTGCTTTTGAATAAGGAGGGATGAGAAAGTCAGCCGGAAATTACTTTGAATGATAGGAGAGAAGTGAAGTAAAGAAAAAGACCATTTCCTTTACTTACAGCACTTCTGACACCACCTGTGTGGGTTTTTCCACACCAAGCAATTCTCCAGTTCTTGGTGGACACCAGCTGCGTGTTCTACAGTTTAACTCAATTCTGCCATCAACTGCCAGAGTTAAACTGTAGAACAACCCCATAAGACTGCCCCCACTTTAGACACCAATTGCAAGTCCCAGGTTGTCATCTATACCACTGACTATAAATTGTAGGTTCCCATGACTGCTTCCTCAGGTCTAATAATTTGCTAGAACAGCTCACAAAACTCAGGGAAACATTTACTTACAATTACCAATTTATTATAAAGATATTACAAATGATACAGATGACCAGCCAGATAAAGAGGTACATAGGTCCAGGTATAGAGAGGGCACAGAGCTTCCGTGCCCTCTGGGTGCACCACCATCCCAGCACCTCCATGTGTCGTAAGCACTTTGAACCCCATTGCTCATGGTTTTTGTGGAGGTTCCATTAAGTAGGTGTGCTTGATCAAATCATTCACCATTGGTGATTGAGCTCAATTCCCAGCCCCTCTCCCCTCCCTGGAGTCTGGGGGTGGGGCTGAGTTCCAGCCCTCTGGTCACACGGTTGGTTCCTCTGGCAGCCAGCCCCCATCCTCCAAGCTTCATCACCTCCTTAGCATAAACTTAGGTGTGGCTTGGAGGGGCTTATTGTGAATGACACGTCGGAGCTTCTGGCCAGGAAACAAGGACAAAGACCAAGTACGTGTTTCTTACTAAACCCTAATATCACAGGAGATTAATCACATTTCACCCAGAAGTTAAGAGGGAACGATGAACTCCTGACCGTGCTTGTTCTCCATGGAAAGGATGTTCCATATTCAGGAAAACTCTTCAGATGGTTATGTTTGGAAGGAGAGAAACGAAGATGCATGAGATCTGTCGCTGGACGTCTAGGTAGCTTGGGAAGCCAATTTGAGCCAATGACCTAACTGGTAACGTTACCCGCCTCACCAGCACAGGGTCTTTGCTGCTGTCAGAGACGCTGGTCAACTCTGTCGTCACTGACCCAGCGTTGCTGTAGAGGTCCCAGTGTGCCCTTGAACCCATAGGCCCTGTGTTTGTTGTCTTCATTGCAGGCAATTAAAAGTTAATATTTGAAATGAATAAACTCAAGCAGAAATAATGACTTTGACTTACCGTGTGGCGAGGTCACGGCCTGCCACGTGAGTGGAGATCACGCTCCTTCCCGGGCTCCCCCGCACAGGGCGGGCCCCAGGGGAGTGTGCCAGGCCCGGCCAGCCTTCTCCCAGGTGGAGCGAGGGACAAGCTCCGGATGGAAGCGCCAGCATGGGGCAGGGTGTTACCTGACTGTGCAGGGTGCTTTCTTCTTCTTCTTTTATGGTTTTATTGAGGTGTAATTAATGTAACATAAAATCTGAGCAGTTCTGATATATGTAGAGAAATCATCCCACAGTCAAGACACCGTACGTGTCTGTCACCTCGACCATTTCTCGTACCCCTCGGTAATGCCCTCCTCCCTCACCTCATCCCCAGGCAACCACCGCTGTGCTGTCACTCAATTTTGGTTTGCAGTGTTTAGAATTTTATACAGCTGGAACTGATATACGTGTTTGTTTATATTTGTATTCATTCCTTCACTTTAGTTCCGTTTTAGCGCCACAGACAAAGTTTAGTCAACGTGTCCTTGGGAATTTGAACTGGAGGTGAGGGTAACTCACACCCCAGGAGTTAAGCTGACCCCTTTGCGGGCTGGCAGGCGGCAGACCTTGGCCAGGCTTCTCCTGAGCGAGGCCAGAGTGTCACGTTACCAAGCAGACTGGAGGCAGGGGTTTGTTGTTGACAATCCAGAAATTGTTGGCACTAGTGCCATTAGTGCCTTTCTCCTGTGGGGTTTTATGAGGTTGTGATGTGATTGGGATAAGTGTGGTGAATTCTGTTACAAGAAGGCGTTTCCTTGTCACTGCGCCGTGGAGGGTGGACCCTGCTCCGTCACTGAAGAGCCTGGCGCCGCAGGAGCCGGTGGCCTTGGCTCAGACCGGTGCCAGAGCCCTTGTTTCCTTTTCCACTTGCAAGGTGGGGCAGTGCTCCGTCTTCCCCTGGGCTTCTGGATAAGGGCGTGAAGGTGCACTGAAACAGTCAGGGGCATATAGGTGGGAGGCATCACTGAGTCTCTGGTTGACCTGTGGCCAAAATGATATTCTGACCTGCAGTAATTTTTTTATAGTGCACAGTTCTGTACCAAAAAGCACTTTGGTCCATATTTCTGCCCAGTCATTCTAAAGTGAAAGGGCACGGGTGGGGCACAGGGAGCCTCCTCTGCGACATTGTCCCAGCCTCACACCTTCTCAGTGACACCCTGTGACAGTGGCCATGGGGGGCCAGGCGTGCTGCGTGCCGAGTCCAATGTGGACATCGGTGGTGACGCCAAAATCATACCCTTCGCCCAGATGGCACCTCTGCTGGCCTGTAGGCAGCCCTGGGGGGGTCTCGTTTCCTGTTGTAAGTGGATCTCAAGCTTCTCCACCCTGAAGGAAGGTGACTCCTGTCATGAGGGAAAGGGCACAGCTAACAATTCAAGAGAATCCGGTGTCAGGCGTCTGCCCCCTTTGGGATGGCTGGCTCCAGAAGAGGGGAGTCACCTTGTCTGGTGTGGAAATGTTGTGACTCCGAGGAGTTCAGGAGGGAGTGTTGGGCCGGGTGGGGAGAAAAGAGGGCAGATGGAAAATCAGGCGGAGGCAAAGCTCCTCGCACCTCTTCCCCTCGCTCCCTCCAGGGTCCCCAGCCCTCCCCTCCCTGGCCACGCCCCTTGGCCATGCCCTGGGGTCCAGGTGCTCAGTAGTGACCTGGCCTAGGGCATGGTTTTCCGTCTGCCCTCTTTTCTCCGGTCCTCCACATCAACCTCCCCGGATTCCCCCATCCTCTGTGTCCTGTCCCCCATCCTCATTTCCCAAAGCTTGCTTCCAGTTTATTTTTGTGTGAAAGTCCTAGGTTTAACCTCACCTGCAAGAAATCACTGTGACGTGAAAAACATTTTATTTATAATTTCTCGTATTTACAGTGTATGTCTTCATTATAATCATTCTTACAGTAAATACAGAAGTGCTTAACGGACCATCATTACAGTGGCCTGTGGTCCACCCAAGGCACAGGGACAGAAGGTGCTGTGATTTCCGTGTTTCCCAAGGGCCAGTCAGGAAGCCTCAGAGTTGAGTGCAGGGGAGAAGACTTTAAGATGGAACTTAAATGGGATTAATAGTCAATGTGGCAAAATCCTAGAATGTCTATTACAGAAACAGGTAGAGGTTTTTACTGGGGTTTTTTTTGTTGCTGTTTTGTTTTTTTTTTGTTTGTGTGTGTGTTTTTTCATCCGGTTGCTGGGGATTCAACCCAGAACCTCGTGCATGCCAAGCACACGCTCTACCACTGAGCTATACCCTCCCTCCCCTCTGGTTTTTATTGTTTGTATTAGTTGATACTAAAGAAATGGAGATGAGACTGATGAGCTCCTGTTAGTGAGAGGCAAAGAAGCCAGGGCCTTCCCCGAGTCCCTGCCAAGGCCCGGCCTCGTTTCTGTTACCCTCACCTGCTGTGTACCCAGCACAGCGCCTGGGACCCCAGGGTGGGTGTGAGGCAGGGGGGCTTCAGCACCACCGCACTGGTTTCCTTGACTGGCAGCTGGTGTCGTAGGAGTGAGTGAGACCCTGAGGAAAGTTTTCCCAGTTCCACAGCGGGACCCGCAGGAGCCCCCTACAGATTAGCAGGGCAGTGGACAGTGTTGATTTCGAAGCCTTCTGCCTCCCCAGTTTGTTTGGTCTCAGCCAAGAGGGCCAAGAGCCTGGGCTGCACGGAGGGGGAAGAGGGCAGGGGAAATGTCACTGTCCCACTGGCCCAGTAGCTGTCCCTTTTTATGAACAGCCATTGTGCCAGGTATAGTGGTCTCTCTGCTCACAGAATTTGCCCACAAAAGCTGTAGAGGGCTGTTTGAAAGGCAGCCCCACAGCTCTGGAGTGGTTTAAGTTGGTTTCTGACTGGCAGCTTTGGGCTGAGGCCAAGGAGGCATCATCTCCCGCACGCTGCTCCATCCCGAGGGTGGTCCCTGCTGTCACCTGACCAGCATCAGGCTAGCGTGCGAATGGCAATGCTGGGAGGCCACCGCAGGCTGCAGGCCATCAGCGGCCTCATGCACCCACACATCTGAGTCCCCATGGGGTCACATGCAACTCTGTCTAGCAGACAAGCTGCAAAGACACAGGGCTTGCTGTCACTACAGAAAGTAGAGAAGGGGGAAGGCTTCTCAGAGTCGGAGGGAGGAGTAGAGGGGAAAAGATGTTCTAAAGAAACCTATGCTTCAAGAGGACATTCTGTGTCATCAGGATGAGAGTGGGGATCAGAAGTTTCTCTGAACCACGAGGTGCCAGGCGGGAGAGGTTGATGGTGGGGCCCCTCAGCCGAGGAACAGACTGATCTCCACGGGGCTCACACATCGATGGGAGGAGGACGAAGGAGTGAAGTCTTCTCAGAAACTGCCTTTGTGATGTGGGGGGAAGACCATGAAGCATCCTTGAAACATTCCACTCTCTCTGGTCCCTAAATACCATGGTGCCAGCCCCCTGCACAGATAACTTCCTGCTTTTATAGCTTGAAAATATATTTTAACTCAGCCACGACTTGACATCCTCCAGGTCAGAGAAGTAGGTAAGTCCCAGTTTCGGGATGACAGTAGGGACACAGCAAAGGTGGCAGAAATGAAATTTGGGCAGAAGAGATGAGACTCTTCAGTCCTTTCGCATCTGCCTGCTGCCTCTAGATTCGGAAGCAGTTTGGGTCCTCTCAGAGTTCATGTCCACTCTGGGAGACAGAAAGCAACAACACATTTTCAAGAATAGCCTAGTTATTTAAAAATCTGTGGAGTATTAAACATAACTGCTCTGCTGACAGGAGGTTGGGTTGCGCTTAATAGTCTGTCCTTCTGACACTTGTGGCCTGACAAGTGACTTCTGATTCCAAAGTGAGACTCTTGCAGATCTTACATGTCTTCTCACTCTAAGATCCATTCAGTGCGTCTGAGCCAAAGGACAGGACTCTGGGAGCGGGTGGAGCTCAGTGGCAGAGCATTTGACTGCAAAGGACAGGACTCGGAAAATGCCTCTGCTGTATTTCTGGGAATATCTCTTGCTTTCTTTTTGCCACTGATGCCTTGACCTTCCTGTTCCCGCCTCCCCCCACCTCCACCCCAACCCCCAGTTGTAAGGTCAGACTAAAGGTTTTGTCACAGCTGAAGAAAATCAGACCATAAGCCCTTCCCTGAGGAAAGAAACCGAGTCTCAAAAGCAAAGCCTGAGCAGAGAGAGCACGTTCTGGTCTGAAAACGTGGACAACAAGCAGAATTCCCAGGACGCTTGAGACCAGGCTCAAGTGAACCCCTGGATGAAAATGTTTTCCAGCCAGTCACAGCCCCCGGCAGGCGACGTGGGTTTGTGCCCCCAGGTTGCAGACCTCTGAGTGGTCTCACACAGAGGAAGCAGACAGCGCAGAGTCCTCGCCTCCCTGGCGAGCTCTTCCCATCCGTGATCCCACAGAGGGTGGCAGGGCAGCGAGATGGCGGGGCACCCTGCTGGACACCCCCCAGGGGTCTGGGGTCTTTGTGGGTTGAGCTCCAGAGAACCCTCAGGTATTTGAAGCATCCAGGGAGCCATAGCGTGTAGCGTCCAAAGCCGAGTCCTTCCCTGGACGTGCCGGGGCCTCAGGCGTGGGCCTCGGACTCCTGCTTGGTGGCCGGTTTGTAGATGACACCTTTGTTATCACTTTTTTTGCTACTAGAACAAGAACACACGAGTCTTGTTAGTCAAAGAGGACAGAGAGGCAAGAGCAGCCTGACTCGGCTAGATTTTAGGGGTCAGATTCCTCACTTGGGGAAATGCCTCCTCCAGTAGAGCCTTAACCCAAATGGAACCTGTTCATTTTTCAGCTGTTCCCTTTTATCACTTGACAATACTAGACCTGCATTTTGACGAAGGCCTCATTCCCGCCCCATTTCAGATATCTGATTCCAACAGGGTTTGTGACCACCTTTTTTTTTTCATACCAGCCAAAATAGGCTTTAGGAAAAACTAGATGTGACAATAAAAGCATGAGCAAAGAGCATTAATGTGAGTGAGAAGTCAGGTTTTCCCTCGTTTTTCTTTTTGGGTTCGGAGAAGAAAAACCAGGTGTAAAGATCTTAGAAAGGCAGCCTCGTTGCTCGTGTGGAGGCAGGTGGGGCCTCCCCTCCAAATCACAGGGCTTGTGCAAGGGTTTAGCTGCGGCAGCCAGGCTGGCAGACACACCTCCAACTCTGGGCACAGTGACCCTTGACCCCCAGCACCAGCGTCTCATGCGGAGGCCGGGGTCAGTGGTGTTTGGGAGATGCGCTCCTAGGAGAAGTGTTGGTACAGGTGACAGGGGCCCTTCTTTCTGCGGGCTGCCTTCCCAGACAGATCAATCCTCATGGACACATGGGCTACCCACTCCCATCTCAAACCCAAACCGGCTCACCTCTTCTTCCTTCTGAAAAGCCAAATAGATACTGCCAGGACGATACAGATGCCGAGAACGCCGGCCAGGGCCACGGAAAGGGCGATGCCTGGTGAGGAGGCAGGGCACACGCACGTTACAACCCTCCCTCCCCCTTTGTCTCCCGCCACAGCACGTGTGTGTGTGCAGTCAGTGACAACTGCACAGCCTGCCACGGGCAGGCGTAACTCCCCCACCTCTGCTCTCAGGTTCTGGTCTTCGGCTTATCAGGACTGGCTGGAGTACTTAGAGGGGTCCATCTGCAAAACGGCAGCGATTCTCCAATAAGGGCTCTCAAACGTGCACCAGGATCATCTAAAAAGCCTGTTTCAAATGTAGACTTTTCTTCAGCCCAACCCTCAGAGACTCTGATTCAGGCTGGAGTTTGGCCCAGGAATCTGCATTTTTACCAAACACCTCTAGCTGATGCTGGTGTGCATGGTCCATGCACCACGCTTTGAGAAACCCTGGGCCATGGGGTGAGAGCTCATTCCATCTTTGTTTGCTGGATTTAAGGCCTGTTGGGATGCCTCTTTCTCAGTTTTGCCCTCAGGCTCCATTGCACAGTCCTAAGCAGTCCAAAGCTACCAGGACCCATTGCCAAGGTCACTTGGCTGGTCACCCAGCCTCAATACTGGGCCGAGGCCGGGTTTTTAGGCAATAGCTTCCCGCCATGGCCAACAGAAGGTCTTGGATAGGTCTTTGAATGTCCACATGCTATAAAGTGATTGGCTCTTTCATTAGGGGAGCATTTGATTGGCAGTTCATTTCTGAAACAGAGTGACTGGAGGGTAAGACACACAGTGAGGGGGTGGCCAGGAGTCAGAGTGACAGCACAGAGAAGCAGAGAGGATGGACTGGAAGTATCACAGGCCCAAATCACACCAAGAATCACAGCGATCACCCAGCTTCAGCATGCACGGCCGGCCGGCCACATACCCAGACTCAGTCCTGCGTAGGTAAGGTCTTGTACTTCAAAGGAGAGAGGAAAAGATGGGAAATTAACCAAGTCAAACCATGGCAGATGTGACCAATGCACTGAGCTCGACCTTTTGTTGGGTTGGAGGTACAGGGCTGACGCAGCCCTTCTGGGGGTGTTCACTGTTGCCTCAAGTGCTTGATGGGTTAGAGGGCGTTGCCCACCCAGGGAATTCACACCATGATCCCCCCCCCTCCGATGCTCCTTTATCACAGCCGTCTCTGCTCAGGTGAGACTTCAGTTTTTAGTACAACGTGGTCAGTGGGGAAAGTGAGGAAGTGGGGAGAATCAGAGTCTAGCTGGGTGGGCTGTTACCTGCTTCTCTAGGACCTGCGCCTCCTCAGCAAGGAGCCTAGTAGGTTCTGGCTGGCTGGGGCTGGCGGAGCTTGGTTGGAATCTGTCACCTGTCTTCTGCCCCATCCCCATCCAGTGCTGCTGTCACGGTTTGGTTCTATTTGCTTTGGCCCCAGTGGACAAACTGGAGCAACCCTTCCACTACCAGCCTCCCTTCCCTGCCGCCTGGAACCAGGGCTCCTCAGCAAGTTCTTGTTGGGGATGAATGGTGATGAGTTAGGGGTCCTCAGTGGGGCTGAAATAGTGCCCAGCGATCTAAGTGAAATCCCATAGTCAGCCTAGTGGAGACCCCCCTGGGGAGGGTAGTGGGTGAGTCCCTCCTCTCGGGTGACACAGAGGAGCCCCGTCATGAAGCCCCCAGGGCACCCCCGCTGCTGCTTCCAGCGCCTCAGAACTGCTCCCCTTTCTCCCAGTCAGGTCCTCCATCTAAAGAAAGTCTGCTTACACAGACTCGCTTGTCTGGCGGTTTTCTGACCTCAGTAGATACTTCTAGCTTGTGTGTATGTGTGTGTGTGTGATTGTTGCCGGCGGTGGGTGGGGGGGTGTTCCAGTTCACACTGAAATCCAGCGTTGTGCAGATGGTGGCCACCCAGCCCGACTCAGGAGAGCCCTGTGCCCATAGAGCCCACCGTGGTGACTGAGACCCTGGGAGAGCCCTGCTGAGTGTGAGATGCCAGCAGAGGGCCAGAGACACCCCCTCCCTGGGGTACTTGACACCCCCGGGAACCAGCCCTGAGAGCAGGGTGAGGTTTTGCTCAACCCCTTCTCCTACCATACGGCCTGAGCCTGCTGATTCCCTGGAGCCATCAGCCCTTTGTCCTTTCCCTACTATCCTCTTCCTGGTCCAAGGCTGGCCCGCGTCCCCGGTCTGGCTTCCCCAGGTGGCCCTGGGCTGTTGTAAGGACAGGCAGAACAAGCAGGGAGGGGAGCCATCCACGAAGTGCAGGGTAGCCTGTTCTCTTGGCCCTTGCTGGCCGCCACCAGCAGCCCATGGCCTCCCAGGTGATGGACAGCGTGGCTCCCCTGGCCTGGTTCCCTGGCCCCAGCATCTTGTAGCCTGATACAAGGACCAGTCTGTGGCTTGGGGAGACGCGCAGGACGTGAGCCTCCCCCTGAGGAGAGTGTCAAGTGTTTGTACAACACATGCTCTGTTTCCTGCATGGCCTGTGGCCTCTGCACACTATAATTTGGTATTTTAGGTTTGTTTTTTTTTTTTCAAGGTACCTAAAGGCAAGCAAGTCCTCTAGGATCTTAGAAACAACTACCAAAGAAAAAAAACCCCAACTAGTCGTGTTTTCTTTTCCAAGCCTTTTTGATGAAATGCACTTCAGTTCCAGATGCACAAGCTCCAAATGCTTGTGGTCCTAAACTGGTTCTCCCCACATAGGACTGTTTGCTAGTTAGCCTAACCACTTGGTTAGGCCATCCAAACTGGACAGTTTCTCAAGTTGTGGCTTTCAGTCACCCCAAACACCCTGAAAGCCACACAGGCTCCCAGACAGCTGAGAGCCCCAGTCCGGGCCTGGAGGAGGTGCCTGTAAGCCTGATCCTAGGGAGCTGAGCGAAGGCTCTGGGAGCAAGGCCCCAGGCATGAGACTTTTCTCAAGAGCATGTGGGCCAGCTGGGTGGCTTATCTGGAGGGAGAGCCTGGCTCCCCTGGGTCACTGAGCAGTGTCCTTGGCTGATCAGGAGCCATAAACAAGAGCCTAATTTAATCCAGGGCTCTAACCTAGCTTCCTTGCTCCTGGATGATGACTTCCTAGGGCCCGAGCTGCCTCTCCTTGGAAACAATGAAACGAGACCAAGCAAGTCCCAAGACAAGAAGATCCCCAGACACTGAAACAAGTGCTTTTCAGCCAAGAGTCTGATGTAGCAAAAATAAAGCAGCTTGACTGAGAAAGCCAAGAGCAGAAGCCACTCGGCGAGAGGAATGGTGGTGAGGGGGGTGCCTTGTAAGAATTCTACCCTCCAGGAAATCCAAAGCAGGAAGATGATGTCGGGGTGCTGCCCCTGACCTTGGAGACAGCACTGAGCATCAAGGAGCAGGGCTTCCCTGCAGAGCTGGATGAAGCACAGGGCTTAGGTCTCCTTGGAGCCAGGTGCCAGAGCATCTGCTAACTGAAGGGACAGGGAAAGTGACAGAAGGCACAGGGGGAACTGTGGGGACGACTGAAGAACCAGAGCCCAGAGAGAGAAGCCAAAGCCCGCATCCCCGCACAGCCTCCGGGATGGTGCAGAGAACAGGCATCAGAGATGGTGCGGGGAGCGGCAGAGGCAGAGAGAGTCACTTGCAGAGAAAACAAAGATGGTTTCTGAGTGGCAAATGAGACAGGCAGTCCCCACGGAAGAAAGTGGGACAGACGGGAGAAATGAGTCAGACTGGCTGACGGAGATGACCCATGAGAGCCACGGATGAGAACGCAAAGAAGGGGCTCCTGAGCTGGCAGGTAGGAGGGTGTGCGCTGCACGGACGTGGGAGAGCTGCCTGCTCGCCAAAAAGTGCTCCGGGATGAGTCAGGACGGGCAGAGGTAGGGCAGGACGACACACAGAAGGACATCACACAGACACAGAAGAACTCCAACGCCACAAGCCTCACCCGGGAAGGTACAGGCCCCCGAGAAGATGGGCAGGCTGCTCACCACCGGGCGCTGCGGCCTGTCCTGGCTGGCTCGGGAGCTGCGTCTTCCACCGGCATCTTGCTGGGCCGAGACTTGCTGTGTGTTTGCTGTGTTGAGGTCTTCTGAAGCCTCAAGTGCAAACACAGGAAAGTCCAGCGGGAGGAACCAGCACCTCATTTACACAGCTTGTGGTTCCTGGAACACGTCTGGCATTCTCTAGGTCTATTGGCAGTTCTGTTTATTCAAACAGCATTTTGAATAAACAACAATATAGTCCTTTTCCTTTCAAAGTATTGTTTTAAAGTAGGGACTGTTTGGCAGTGATTAGATTTGTATACAGATAGGAATATGCATACGCAGTCTCCAGTCTTATCCAAGAGGCAGTTTGGGTTTAGCAGGGATTTGAGAGTTGATAAAATCAGTTTCAGATGGTAAAATTCTTATTATTATGCTTAATACAAGTCATAGACTCAAGTGTCTGAAATGCTAGTCCTCTCTTTGGTTGCTGCTTTGGTCCAGAAAAGCGAGGAAGGTGCCCTCAGAACCACACAGCATAACTGTCTTTGGAGGGTATATTTAACTGGAGTTTTCTTAACACCATGGAAGCCAGTAAAGAAATAATTTCTATAGATAAGTCTGCGCAAAAGATACAACCAGATTACGTGAGAGAGCTGGGTTTTTACAACCTTGATAGGAGCTGAGGGCTTTGCCTTCCTGATTGCAGGCATGCAGGCCCAGAAGTGAGAGCCGTGTTGCTCTGAGGGGCCTAAACCCAGGGGCAGTGGGCTCAGGTGACAGTGCAGCACTGGGTGCTTCCTGCTCTCAGCTCCCTCCAGGGGCCAGGCTGGCTGTGCTGCAGGAGGGATGCGTGGTGGGACCAGGGCTCTAACCCCCGTCAGGCCAGAGGACAGAAGGCCTGACAGCATCCCTCGGTGACTCCCTCCCAGACCTTCCACACTCGACAGCCACATTCTGGTCATTAAGTTTTCCTAGACAAAAAGATTGATTTTCATGCTGTTGGTATGTTTGATACCAAAGCAAGATAAGACTTAATAAAATTCAGGCTTGCCAACTGGTCAGGCTTCTGTTTAGATAACTTTGCAGAGAAGACCCTGGGGAGGTGGGGGTGGGACACGGGCCCTTTTCATTCTCTCAAACTGGTAATGAACACCAGGCACAGTGCCAGGGACAGAACGTAAGATCTCATCGCCTGCTTTCAGGGGCTTGTGGTGTATGGATGATAGAGGCGTATTTTTTGTTTTTCTACACGGTAATAAATTGTCCCCCTGTGGTACGCTAAGAGCTGTGACAGATGAACCAGTTGTCCAGCTGCACTGAGGCAGGGGACTGTAGGTCACCTTCAGGGGTTCGGGGAACACTTCTGGCAGGATACAATCAGAGTTGAGTCTTGAAAGAACTTTCCAGGTGGAAGAGGTGAAGGGCATCCTAGATAAAGGGACTGGTGTGTGCAAAAGTCAATACTGTGCACACATGAAAGCACCTGCCATGTGGAGGGAGGCCCCACGGGGCAGGATGGGAGCCCGGGGGAGACACGTTGTATGGGTCAGCTTGTGCTGAACCACAAACAGTGGTCCCAGCTTTCTGTTTGACCCCTTTGCCCGCTGTCTGTCCTCAACGTGGGCTGCTCTGTGCCAGAGGCTAGTTGTTGGGAGCCAGGGAGCATCCATGGTAACGATGCTCACATGGGGCATGCTCAGGAACCACATGGCGTGCTGACCTGCCTTAGATGAAGGGACGAGGACTTCCCTTCTTAGCACATGTGACCATTGCTGCTGACTGTTCAGCCCCTGTATCCAGGGGGAGTTTGGAGGTGGGAAGTGTTCTTTCATTTGGATGCTTTGGAAGAATTGCTACTTTCCTATCCCATAGAATTTATTTATAAATAGGAACTTTTAGAAACACAAGGTCAATAACCACAAAGCATACATTCTAATGTCAAAGAATTAGGTAATTAGCCATCTTAGCTTGGTCAGATTTTTTTCTCTCTCTTTTGCAAAGGTTTCATGAAACTACCCAAGCAGATTCTAATCATGCTACTCCACAAACTGGCTGAGGGGGACAGCCTTCCCCTCTACTGCCCAGCGCTCTTGCCTAAGTGTCGCCTCAGCTGGCTCCGGGCTCCGCGCATGACTTGCACATGCTCGGAGCAGGCCCACTAAAGACATGATTATAGAAACTTTGGCTTCCTTATGTCCTTCAAGTTTCCTTTGCCCTGACGTGTTGACAGGAGAACTTGATAGCATTAGTACTTAGGTTTGATGGGTCTGGCTTTATTACCCTTTGCCATCTGGCCCCAGCATCGGTGTCTTTGGCTGGGAAGAGGTCAACTTCAAGAACCCAAGAACTGGGCCCCTGGACTCTATAAATCTGCCTCTGCCATATTCTTCCTTCCCTGCATCAGGCTTCTGAGTCCTGTGAGATCTGGACTGGTCCCGGGAGGTGTTCCTCTATCCCACCCCCCGCTCCGCCCTCCTGGAGGACAATGAGCCTTGCTTCCCCTCCTCAGCTCCAGGCTTCCCTTGTGCCGCTGGGAAGAGGCACCTTGTAAGAGCTGAAAAAAGCGCTCGGCATGACTTTCATCTCTTTTAAAGAGCGGGCATTTTAACCAAAAGCAACAAGAAACAACAGACATGAAAGAAAAGATTGCACAACTGGGAGGGAGGGGCAGAATGATGAGGGGAGTCTGAAGAAAGTTCCAGTCTCAGAGGCGCCTAGACCCCGGTGAAGGGATGTGTCCACTTTCCTTGGGGTGAATAGTTCTGTCTCCACTTCTCTTCGCTTTGGGTCTACCCAGTTATATGCGAAGAATATATACCCCAATTCTACAGGAAGATGGAGAACACAGTTCCTCTTGAATTTGGGTGTTCTACCTTAGTAACTCCATCCTTGTTGTTTCAGCGGTGACCACCACCAGACTGAAGACATCATGCCATAATGGAGCAAAGACCAGGGCATGTGATGTAAAACCCTGGAATCCTGCAATTTGAGTGGAAGAGAAAGTTCTGGGCTGAGGAAAGTCATTGTACAATCCCCGGGAGAGGGGTTCTCAATCGGGGCAACTTTGCCCCTCCTCCCACTGAGGCATTTGACAATGTCTGGAGATGTTTTGGCTGTCACAAGAGGGGGTGCTGCTGGCACATAGTGGGCAGGGGCCAAGGATGCACAGGTCAGCCCTCACAAGAATTACCAGCTCCAAATGCCGATACTATCTGGGGAGGGTATAGCTCAGTGGTAGAGCACATGCTTAGCATGCATGAGGTCCTGGGTTCAATCCCCAGTACCAACATTAAAATAAACAAAAATCTAATTTCCTACCCCCCCCAAAAAACCCCTACATAAAATCTAATTAAAAAAAAAAAGAAACCCAAATGTCAATATTGACATGCCAATGCCAAGGCTGAGAAACCCTGCCCTGGGGCTGTAATAGACTGTACACCTGTCAAGGACAGAAGCCAAGTTCTGTGTTCCTTTCCTAGCACAGCTGAGGAAAAAGCAGGGACCAGTTAAGTGATTCAGTCCCAGTTGTCCCAATCTGATTAAACCCCAGGTCCCCGTTTCAAAGTCCAGGCACTTTGTCTCCTAGAGGATTTCCTAACATTACTTTTCTGCTGGCAGAAAACTCCAGAGTTTTCATTTTCCGACTCCACAGTTGCTATTAACTTCCAGAGAAGACCCTGAATAAAGTAGCCCTAATTACAGGCATGACTCGGTAGAAAAGCGTGCAAACATCTGAGTCCCAGGTGCTCAAGGTTCGCGCTGACACAGGCTCGCTGCATCAACCTGAAGCGGTACACTGCAGCCTGAGACACACTCCAGGTTGGTGTGAGAGGGCCTTCGGGGGATGAGGTTTGGGGCTTCGCTCCTTTGGAGCTGCCCCATCCTTGCTTCTTGGGAAACAATCCCATTTGCTGCCTGAGTTTTTGGGAAATGAGAGGGAAATGAGAATTCTGGCCAAGTTTCTATAATCAGCCTCCAAATGAACAGGTTTGCCTCAGTCTGCCATGGATTCTCATTCCACGGAGACAGCCTGGCCCGGCCTGGGCTCTTGGAAGCAGCAGCTTTGGCTGAGTCACGCAGGAGGGGCAGCGGCAAAGCTGCATTTGGGCTGTGACCTCCATGTCCTAAGCTGGAGCCGGTCTGGGAGCTTCTGCTTACAGGCCCCTCCCCAAGCCCCCCAGCCAGACAAGGAGGATCTAATGAAGCGCTCTGCTACAAGCCTGACTGCACTGCCCGCTCTAGGCGCCAGCTTAGACCTGAGCCGGTCTAAGAAGATGGCTAATTATCCCCAAGGCCACAGTCCATGATGCACGAAGTGCACATTACTTTTGGATGTCAAGTTCCTGCATGGTTTCTTCTGATCCTCTGTAACTGCCCTCACACACTGTCCCTGCAACGTAAAGGCGGGATGGGCAGTTGTTAGTGTCCACTTAGAATCAGACCGTGTTCGCACCGTCAGGATGTTAGCTCACCTAGTCCAGCCCCTCATTTTATGGCTGAGGAAACCAAGACCAAAGAAGGGGCACGATTTGCCTGCATTTTACGGCCAGGAGGAACAAAAGTGAGGCCTTGAACTTTGGTCTCCTGACTGTGGGGGAGTACCTGTCATCCCACCCCCTGTGACCTGTAGAGACTGGCCCAGAGAACCAGAGCTGATCATTATCCTTGAATCACAAGCAAAATTCTACCTGATCCGTGTGAGCAGAGTCCCTGATCTCCAGGCAGAGTTTTTTCTGTTTTTAAGGGTTGAAGTATTTCTGTTTAACCCTTGATTACTACAGACTTAATTTAGAAGGATAGGAAAAAAGGAAGTTATATCCACAAGAGGGTAATTCTGTGCATTTGAGGCATTTCCTAGAAAAGAAGCTGGTAGTCGTCATCTTATGCATCCTCAGTTTTTAGGAGGGGCTGTTGTTTATAGATTCAGTTTTCAGACCAGGAAACTGGGGGAAGGAGGGAACTTACCTTAACTAATGGTATCTGGAGAGACGAACACAAAAGATAAATTCTTGGGCAGTTCTTGATTAAGTAACTGACAGAGAAAGACAGAATTCTGACCATATGCGTGAGTCACTTCAGAAGAGCATGTTTCTAAAGCTGTCTGGCAAGGGCCTTGAAATACAATCTTCATATGTTCAACTAAGCTGAGCAGGTGCTGGTTATAATCTCACACGATATGAAAGGAATAGCAACAGAACGAGGCGCCCCAGGGCAGCTGAGGAGAGCTGATTCTTTGACATGTGGGAAAATGGGGTCATCTGGAAATGGGAACCCCTGGCCCAGTTCGGCCACAAGTGATGCAGGATAAAGTAGAACTTCCACGGACTGGCCCTTCTCCTGACCACTCGAGAGTCCCGAGCTGGGAGCACAGCTCAAGAATTGACAGTGAGAAAGTGAACTTGGAGATTTGGAGAGTGTAGCCCCAAGAGTGCCCGCTTACCCCTTTCCCTGGGCCCCCGGCTTCCACAGTCTGGATGTCGGTAACAAGCAAGTCAAGATCCTAAATGTTCATCTGGGGAGTTACGGTTACAGATCTAAAAGGAAGCACTGAGCTTCCATAGCTCAGGAAGAAACCGAAATATGAAGCTTCATTCAGCATCGACCCGGGGCGCCTGTGCTTGTGCATCAAGGAGATGAGACAAAAGGCAGTTCTGCGGATGCTTTCTTGTCTGATGGGCCCTGCTACGTAAGACCGTGAGCTGCTTGAGGCTCAGACTTGGGTTGTACCCACTTCCCAGAACCTTATAGAGGAGCATCCCTGGACCTTGGTGATGCTGGTGGTGCCATGAATCACCTGACAAGGCTGAAGATGGGCCTTGATGCTAAGAAAGCCTAGAGTAAGAAGTTGGAAGTTTGATCTCATGAAAAGGGTCCTATCATGTGTCTTAGGAGAAGAGGTGGTTCTCCAGAGCAGAGGCCCCCAGAACATCCTCTCTTCCCCACCTGTGGGAGACTCTCAGACGTAGTGAGGGTTCTGGTCCATGCCCCTGGAGGCCTGTGCTTCCCTGCAGAGGCTCAGGGAAGTCAAGGTCAGTGATGGGAGAGCTCAGTATATCCACGCACGGTAGCAATTCACGCACCTGGTTCCTTTGGCAGCCAAAGTACTTTTAACCCACTTCCTAGGGCGTCGGCGACAAAGCCCGCAGGCAGGGCTCCCAGCTTCATACAAAAGGACGCCTTGGCACCACGCTCCCCACACACTGCATCTCCTTACCTTGTTGGAAGGAGACGTACACCAGCCTCTCATCAAACTTCTGGACCTGCCGGAAGTTGTTGACCATCTCTATGGGGGACGGGTCATCCACATTTGTGCAGTACAGGCCTTCTTCCAACTTCACCAGCTGTGGGAAAAGAGCAGAAACACCCACCATGGATGGAGTGACGCCCCCTTGCCTCACCTCCAGGGGAGGGACTAGGGGACCTCACCTCCTCCGGGACCCGGTGGGAGACCCCTAGGGAAGCAGTGGGAAAGCCAGAAACTGCCCCCTCCCCTGCAGGTGTCTAAGTGACTGGGCATGGGGTAAGCCCATGTGACCTCCCGCTGTCTTCCCACCTCCTGGGCCACCAGGAGGGTTCGTGCTGTCTGCCCCAGATTGTGCCAGGAATCTGCTCTGCAGGGAGGGAAACCTGGGCTGGTGAGGGGCTCCTCAGCCTCTCAGAGACTGCATTCCTCTGAGCCTCACTGGGAACCCAGCTCTAAGTCAGTGGCGCTTTTCTGATGGTTCCATCCAAAGGAACAAAAAGAGGGAAGCAAGAGTTTCACAGGTCATCTGACTACCAGTTCCATGGAACTTTCTATACACCCACATAGATTATAGAACTGTTTCCAAAGCAGTATCTGGGTTAGGGTGTTTCTGCCTCCCCACCCATTTTATCTCTTGGTTCATCACGTCTTTATTCCTGTCTGCCCACTTGCTGCCATTTATCGAGATTACTCAGATCCGTAGCTCATAGTAAAAAAAAAAAAGGAGCAGCAGTGAAGCTGTACTGGGCTCATGAAGGGGGCGGGGGGTCGTGAGCCAGTGTGCAGCGCCCCCCTGGCCCCGTCTCCGGACAGGCAAGTTTCTCCTGATGAATTTCAGCTGCAGGGTGGAAGCACAGGCGGTGACTGCGAGCGAGCGAGCGAGCTCTCTCTGGGTCTTAGCCCTGTCACTAACCAGCTGGTGATCCCGCAAGTCTCCTCAGCTCGCTAACCCTCACTTTCGTCACCCAAAAAAATGAGAGGGTTAGAGGTGATTGCCAAGGACTGTGTCCCCCAGTTTTGCACTAGGCTGTGAGCTTCTTGAGGGCAGAGCGCCTCACTTCCTCACTGCTGCAATCCCCGCCCCACGCCGGGTCTGTTAAACCGTCTAGCCTGGTCCTGTCCTTAGGGCCCCCGTAGAGGAGCCGTGCTCTTTCCTGCCTGGGAGGCAAACACTGTCCACTGGGGGACACACTAGGAACCACAGCTCAACAGCTCTTTTTTAAAGAACTGTGGAGGTAGATTCATTCTCCCCACTTGACTTGATGGCTCCGCCTCTGAAGCTCAGCCTGTAATGTCTGCAGCGCTTCCAGGCTGGAGAGGCTTTGAACAGCTGCCAATGAAACTCTAAGTGAGAAACTCAAGTCATTGATTGTGATGATTCGAGTGATGGGAGGGTCCGAGGTACCATGTGGTTTGTGCCAAGGAAGAGCAGGGCAGTTACCTGAGCCCGGGAAACTTGCACAGGGTTCCGGAAGACTGTCCAGAGCACGGAGGGGTGGCAAGGCGGTGTGGTCAGGGACCCTTTGTAGCGGTAGTACTGCTCAGGCCTCTCCGGCAGCAGCTCCTCAATGCTGAAACCCGGGATGTGCACCTCTTGGCCTGGGGACACACGTTGGGGAGGTGATGTTGCCTTGCTCCCCAGAGCAGTGGTGCAGCTGAGCATATGACTGAGCCTGGAAACGTGAGCTAGCCCCGTCCTGAGCCATCTGATTCAAGAGCCTGGTCACAGTGCCCCTCTGTGCATTGCTCGTCAGCTCATACAAGGGCAAATGAGCATCCAAGGAGCCCTCACCTTTGTACTTTACATCTGGAAGGTGACTGAAGATCTTGTCATATGATGGATTGGAGGAGCCCATCTGCAACAGAGATGGAGCAGGTTGAATGGGGACAGAACTCCATAGGCTGAGCCTGGCTTGGCAACTCCTGATGGAAGGGCTCTGCTGTCGGTGTGGGGTTAGCACTGTAAGGTCCTCTCCAAAGGGTATGCTTTCCCGGGACAAGTATGATGGACTACTAGGCTGTTAGGGGCTTGTTGTCATGGTCCTTCCCTCTTGCATCTCAGGATGTCCTATTTGCAGATCAAGGCTTGAGTGCTCCTAATTATCTGGCTATGAGCCTGAAGGCCACACCTAGCATGTTCTCTAACCAGAACTTAAGGGAGCTTGAGTTCATGCAGGCCGAGACAGGCAAGTAAGTACATTGAGAAATGGTGTACATGCTGTTCATCAGGGAAAAATGCAAGCAAATCAGGAGATATGTCCATTTTCTGGAATTAAGGAAAGAACTCATTCTGGGATCTATATAAAGGATGGAGCGTGGATGCTGGGAATTGTACTGAGTTCAAGCATCTAATGGGACAGCAGTGAATGATCCCGCCCCCAGCCAGGTCCTATTCAACTGGGCATTCCATGTTTATGCAATGGGGCTGGGGACTAGGACTCATTTTTCCAGTGTCACATAGGACACGCCCATCTCTACTGTGGAGCCACAGAAAGTGCTGGCTCCTGGCTAAGAGGGAAGGAACCCTATGGGGAATAACCCCTGAGCTAGAGACAAGACGGAGCTGAAACGGAAGTGAGCCATGCACATCCAACACACAGGTGTGCATGGAACCAGAGGTCGAGTCTTGATATTACCCTGACCTCAAATGTCACATAAGACCCTTGTCAACATCTCTTACCTCTATGAGAACAGCTAGGACAGCGAGGCCTTCTGGCTTGTCACTGGCGATGCTGGCGTTGGGGTACAGGTCCGAGTTGTAATAGACAATATGCAGCTGCCGTGGGAAAGAGGAGGTGAGTTGCTGTCCATCGGGGGAGAGCAACTCGGGGGAAACTTTCACTTTTGCAGGAGACTGGAGTCCAATGGGAAGGACAGACCACCCCCACCCCCAGCTGGATTGGGCCTCTCAGGCCCCTGGCTCACGGCCTCCCCAGTTCTCCCTGCTCTCTCAGTCCTCTAGGCTGCAAACTCCCCTCGGGCAGTCGATCCGTCTTATTCTCTCATTGTATCCCAGTATCTGCTATGGTCCTTGAAAAGGACCAGACATACAGCAGATACTGAGTGAATGAATGAACACATGGGTTTCTGTACTAGCCGTGAGAAAGCCTGGATACTCTGGAGCACTGCTCCCTTCTAATTTCTCCTATTTATTCTGGAGCCTGGGGCAAAATGGTCCCATGTGGCTTGCCCCCTCAGCCTGGCCACTCTGTACTTGGTCTGGAAGCCCTGGGGGCTGGGGCAGTGAGCCTCCAACTGTGACTTAATTTTAACTGTACCCAGAGTGGGGAACCTACTTATCTCTCAGGTGGAAAAAATCACAACATGGCTTTCATAAAGGTTTTATCAGTCGTATTTTGAGACCCCAAACCAAAAAATGTAGACTTTTACTTTTTCAAAACACCATTCTAAACTCATTTTTTCCCCCAAAGCAGAAATTACTTCTCATTATTAAAGTGAGGAAAAGAGAAGTTTTGGAGGAATATTTGGGTTTAAAAAGTCTAGGTAAACTCTGATGAGTGATGTTGAGAATGAGGGAGGCTATACATGTGTCGGGGCAAAGGGTACACGGGAAATCTCTGTTCCTTCCTCTCAATTTTGCTGTGAACCTAAAATGCTCTAAAAAAAAGTCTTAAAAATTAAAAAAAATGTATAGGTAAGCATTAAAACATTCTTATGATAAACTCTAACAATATTTAACCTAATTTTTTAATCCTAAAAAAATATATATTTTATATATATTATTTTATATATTATATATATAATATATTTTTTTATATATAAAATATATTACCTGTCCTCCAAAAAACTATATTGGTAGATAAATATACATATACATATATATATATATATATATATATAAAATCACATGTATTTTTGTTGATTCTTTGCCTCTTGAGACTATGACACATTGAGTTTTTTGTCTCTCTTTTCTTTTTCTTCATTAATCTCTTTTTCCATCTTACGTGGTTATAAATAGAATTCAAGCATATTTTAATGAATACAGGTCAGTGTTTCCTACTTTTCAAGTGGCTCTTTCTAATTTTTACAAATTGTATCAAATCGTTTCTTCTTTTAAACGGGCCTCTGTTAAGGGTTTCTTATGGGCTCCTACAACGGCATCCTTCTCCCCAAAGGATGTAGCCTGCCGCGTGGCCACACACCATCTTGGCCCGGCACTGATTGCTTTGAGAGATGGTGCAAAAGTCTATGTGGCTAAAACCCCAGAAGTCCTAGAACCTCATTTCTTTTTATAGCTGACCTTTGAGTTGGTGTTCTCTTTTAGCACCTTTCTCACTGTGTTCAGATGAAATCAAGAGGAAGACTAACACAACCAGAAGGGAACTCCTTCCTGAGAAGATTAAGAGAGTCTTCATATATAGGCTCAATCCAGAGGAACTGCTACCCTTTCCAGCACCCTCCACAGAGCATCTGACACTTTAGGGCCACCTTGATGTATTTGCTCTGTTATTGACATTTGCGGTCCTTCATCACCAAGCTCTGGGTCTGATGATGTGGTTTAATAGCAGAAAATACAATAACTAGAAATATTTTTAAATGTCTAAACCCTCTCAGCCTCCACACCCTAACTCCTTTACTCCTCATGGGGAAATAGAGGCCACCTCATTGCAGTTAGACTGAAAGGAATTGTAGTCTTGGAGGTTCAGAGAGGGGACTGCTGTCTGAAATATGTGTACCCCCAGTAGGGCCATCCTACCGGGCCAGGATGATCGCCCCTCCTCACTGGTAACTCGACCTCAAATTAGCCTGAGACATTAAGCAATTATCAGTTAAGAACAGCGGAGAATGGTCATGTCATTATTTACCATGGGCTCTGCTGGCTGATCAGCAGCATCTATCTCCTTGTATTTATTGCCCTGTAAATGTTTAAAACCACCCCCCTCCAAGTTCAATCCCTTGGGAGCTCTGAAATGCAGCAGTTCAACCTCTGCCTGCCACTGCACACTTACAGTGCAGGGACAAAGCTCTGCTCCTCTTCCTGTCTCCTTTGGTATTTGTGGTAGCACCTTAGGTGTTTATAATGCTGTCATCCCTTGGTTTGCAGCCAAGTAGAAGAGTGACCCTGGACCCAGATCCTTAAGTTCCAAGCATAACCCATGCCCAGGGAAAGGAAAGATGGGGTGGGAAAGACCTATGCAAGCAGCATGGTGTGTGAAGAGACTGAGGATTCGGGGGAGCCATTAGCCCAGTATGATCCGGCAGTGGGATGGGTCAGCCAGGCAAGCTGGTGGGATGTTAATCTGTGCAGGCAGAAGGGTGACGTCTAGAAATGGGGAGTGTGTGTCCCATTGTGCCACCCTGTGAGCTCTGCCTTTGGGGCAGCATCACTCAGTAAGGACATAAACTCAGCATGTCCAGGAGAGGAAGGGGACCAGGACACCACAGAAGACACCACCCTGCCCCATGCCCTGATCTTATCTGCACACCAGCCAAGGGGAAGGACACCAGACCACCCACCGCCGGGCAGCCTCTGCCAGCCGGGCCACCCCACTCACCTCGGCGGCAAAGTGCTTCCCACCAATAGTGTGCTCGGAGCCGTGGGGGTCGTTCCGGTCCCCCCAGTGCAGATGCAGCTGTGAGGCGTTGTAGCGGGCCCCAAGGCCCTGGATTTGCATGTCCTTGGGCAATTTCAGCTTCACTACAGGGAGCAGAAAGGCAGTCTTCAGAGCCCTGGCCAGCTGAGCGATGCCTGAGAGCAGTCAAGTAGGCATCACCTGCCCAGGGCCCACAGGGGGCAGGTGGATGCAGCGAGGTGGGGACCAGGGAGATGCAGCCTGCAGGTCGGAAACCTGGGCTCTTTCCCTAAGAATATCCCCCTTTCACTAAAGCAATTCCAGCACCTTCTTGGTTCCCCTTGGAACCAGTGATGGCAGGAACTAATATAGACCAATGGATGAATGTTTATTTACATATCCATATATTACACACTTAGCTGTAAAGTGAAGCTGTAATGAAGTGTCTGCCAAGCATCTACTCTGTTCTGGATCCCAGCATACATCATCTGTCTTCACAGTACCCATCAGTGTGCCCATTTTCCAGGGGAAACCTCAAGGCGGTTAAAATTCTTATCCAGGATCTCATGACTCATAAGTGGTCAAACCAGGATTCAAAGTCAGGTTGATGTGGCCCCACAGCCTGGGCAAGCCCCCCAATGAACGGTGTGGCCCCTTGAGTCATTCATGATACCCCAGAATCCACTCCCGCACCACATCCGATGGGCCAAGGGGCTCAGGTCTGTTCCCTCTCCCATCGCAAGAGGGGTGCTTCTTCTGAGATGTGCTCCCACGGCAGGACCACCTGAGCCCAGGGCCTGCAGTGAGCATCCCCTGGAGAGAGTGGTCTGAGCACCCCTCAAGGGCTCCCCTTGTGCCCCTTCCTGGGGGCCTCAGCTGCGCCCCCTGTGCTCCCAGCAGACGGCGGAGGCTGGGGCGCTGAGGGGAGCTCAGACACCCTGGCAGCTCTCAGAGGTCTCTCCCCCACCTGAATGGCCATTGTTGGTCAGGATAAAGGGCTGGTTGGCAGACGCGTTGTAGCCCTGGAAGGCGAGGGGCCCAAGGCTGGCGTTGTACTGGAGGATGTCGCCGTGCAGGTCTATCGGGGACTGCAGCAGGCCCCCGCACGATGGGTAGTTCTTGGACCAGTTCTTCTCCCCGTCGGGACCTGGAAGGGGAGATTCAAGTCCATTGCTTTATCAGGTTTCCACCAAAGTTTCTTCCTCCCCCTCTAATTCTGTGTGCAATACAATTACTCCTTTTCTGTTCTGTTCTTCATCCCCAGAGGTATATTCTGCAGGGCCCAAAGATCTCAGCCTACAGAATCAGGTCATGCAAAGGCCTCCAGACCATTTGCTCTTGAAGTGATGTGGGGGTAGAAGGGCCAGAGCGGCCCCATGGCAGGGACTCTGCTTTATACAGTACGTTGTTCGTATTTCGCCCAGCGCACACCCACTCCACGTGAAGACCCCGTGCCTTTCAGCAATTTAGTACCTGTTTACACAACACCTACACGAGCAGGTAGTTCTCTGGGTCTTGGGGCTGCCAGATTGCCCCAACAATAGTGTCCTGGCTTGCCCAAACTTGCATGCTAGTGGGAAAGAATTTCTTGTTAATTACAAAACATTTTTTTTTTCATGAGGCTAAGGAAAACTTTGTTTTATTATGATGTTCAAGCTTAGTATAAAACCTATGGCTCTCTTTCCTTTGGTACTTTTTAAAATTGAAGTATAGTTGTATACAATATTATATAAGTTACAGGTATACAATGTAATGATTTATAATTTTTAAAGGTTATACTCCGTTTATAGTTATTATAAACTATGGGCTATATTCCTTGTGTTATACAATATATCCTTGTAGCTTATTTTATACCTAATAGTTTGCACCTTTTGCCCCTTCCCCTATATATTGCTCTCCCCTCTTCCCTCTCCTGGTGGGGAAGAATTTAATTAATCTGCTGGGACATCCCACATTGGAAAGATTGTGTCTGACTGACTGCAGCTCCAGGTGGGTCTTTGAGGCTGCTGGTTTACAGATAAGATCTTCCTGATAGGAAAGCCTTAAAGACATTGACTCTGAATACCTTCATTTAGGGTAGGTATAGATCCCCCAACCTGATAGGGATGCTTGAAAAATATCAAGTAATTACAGGCCCAGAGTCACAGATCTAAATGCAGTGTTTCTGCTGGGGAAAGTATGACAGTATTACAAATGAATCATTACAATCTAATTGACAAACTAGCAGTGAGGAGGAGCCGTCTTAAAAAAAAAAATCCTCCAGGGCTCAGGCTACTTGCTAACTACCAGGTAATAGTCCTTCCTCTGGAAATGAAAATAAACAATCTAGTCCTGTGTTCGGATGAACTTTCTTACTCCCACAGGGAAAAGTCTTCAAAGAATGTAAAGCTATGTTTAAAAGATTATCTCCCATGGTAATTAAATGGATTTTCAAGCTGAGGTTTCTCCAGAAAAGCAAATAATTGGCCTGTTGTGGCTTGTTAGAGTAGAGCATGGTGCCCTGTGGGCTCTCTTGGAGTTAGGAACCAAGGTTTGCCACCTGGACTTCATTCATCAGCATTTCAGCAGGAGGAGGGGTGTTGACTGGAGCAGGGGGAAGGAACCCCACTTTTTCCAGGCGCCCTCCCGCAGCCCACAGCACTGTTTCACAAGAGTGTGTGTTGTGTGCAGTGACTCCCCGGAACCCCCATTCCCTGCACCCTGTTCTCTAACTAGGGGACCTCACCTGAGAGTTGGGAGAGTCAGAGGCAAAACTTGGTGCCCACGTTCATTTAAAATGCTGTGAGGAGTTGGTCCTAGGTCTGGACACACACAGTAGAACCCTACTGATTTTTCAGGCTGTCAACCTTTGGATATACCTTTTTTTAAAAAGTTGAAGTATAGTCGATTTACAATGTTGTGTTAGTTTCTGGTGTACAGCATGGTGATGCAGTTGCGTGCGCGCACGCGCACACACACACACACACACACACATTCTCTGTCATTATAGGTTAACTACAAGATTTTAAATATAGTTCCCAATGCTATATAGGAGGACTTCACTGTTCGTCTGTTTTATCTATAGTAGTTAGTGTCTGCAAATCCCAACCTCCCAATTTATCCCTCCCCTCCTTTCTTCCCTTGGCTATACCTTTTCAGAAATGTTGGAGCTTGAAGGGAATTTCCAAATCTCCAGTCCATCCCCTCCCTGGACACCAGTTTTCTCAACTCCCCCATGTGAGGGTTTCCACTGAACTATATTGTTTTTATTTCCACGGCCTCAAAGCCCTGGGCCCAAGACGACTAACCCCACTACACCAAGACGGCGTCCGGGGGAGCGAGAGGCTGGAGGACACCCAAGCAGTCACTCCAGGGGACAAACTGGAGTAGGACAGTCACTCAGCTGAGGGGGCAAAACTGAATTCCTTAGAGACAGCAGGGAGCAGAGGTGAAGCAGGCAGGAGGTACCATGCAAATCCGGAGGGTCTGGAAGAGGCACAGCTGCCAGGTGGCAAGGCTTCCACAGTGAGGCTGTCAGCATTTTCTCAGCTCACAACACCGCCTGGGCCCGCAGCCAGGGTGGCAGAGGCTGCTAGTCAGGTGCGAATGGAAAAACTCAGGAAGCGAAGAGGGGTGACCAAGAGGAGAGTTCCCCTTGCACACAAGGCTAAAGGGAATCGAGCAAGAAGAGTTTTCTTTTCCCAAAGCATGGGTTCCAAAAGGTTTCACGAAGAGGGGCCTGGGACATCCCATTTTCACCTCTGTGAGCCCACGTGGTGATAAGGGTCACACACATGATCGGCATTTAGTAAACTTTTCCCCAAAGAATGAAAGACCCCAAAGAACAGAGAGCCTGGGAAAAGGTTATCAGGAGGAATTTTTCTTTTTCTCTTTTGTCCTAAATACTCTTTCTTGGAAGTTGGTCAGATTAGGTATTTGGGAGCAGGGAAGATTAACGATACAAAAAGCAAACAGATCAGAGGTGGTAAAACCTTCCTAGCAAAGGGAAGCAGCTGTATCGGACCCGAGAGCCCGGGCCCCAGACGCGGGCACCAGCCGTCCCACCACCACCTCTGTGAGTGACCTCGGGCAGGCCACATTCCCTGCCCGGGTCTCCTTTGCCCTTCGCAAAAAAAAAGGAAGGTTTGGACACTATGTTCTGGAAGAACCCTTCCAGCTTTCAAACTCAGATTTATGAAGAGTCCCAGGACAAGCATTTTCACCTCTGCATCGGGCGAGCTGGAAGGAGTTGGAGAGAATCGCTCATGCCGGGGCAGCTCCTGGGCATGCGACGGGGTGCCAGTGGGAACCAGCTGGCGGGAGAGTGGCCGCCCAGGGCAACCGGAACCTGCTGCCTGTCCTGGCCGCCGACCACCGGGGGCGCCATCTTCATCTTCCTCCTCCTCCTCCTCCTCCTCATTACTATCACTATTACTACTTTAGGAGTTTGAGTCCTTACAACTCTACAACTCTGTGGGGTCAAGGCAAGAATTGCCCCATTTTGTAGTTGCAAAATTGAGATTAAGCAATTTGCCCTAAGGTGGATTTGGACTTATTTACAGAGTTACTTGCCTGGGTCACAGGACTTCCGCACCTCCTGTTTCAGTATTTAACCAGGAGACTTTGTGCATCCTGTATCCTCCCTCTCCCATCATCTCCTTGAAGGCAAAGACCACGTCTCATGCATCCCTGCCTTGCCCACCGTGCCTGGCAGGGAGCAGGCCCTCACACGTTTACTGTGCTGGGTTCTCCTGCTAACTGTGGGCTCGTTTCCTTTCCAGGGAAGCATACACCTCAGTTAATCCCCCTCATCTCTCTATTCCCCCACGTGATTTTTGTTTTCTCCTATCAAAAAAGAAAAGAAAAATGATGTCCCTTGCTCAAGTTCAAAATCAACCCTCCGAGCTCCCCAGTGTCCCTGCAGGAGGTTTTGTTCTCTTTGGGACCACTCCTTGCAAAAGAAATCCGGTGGCTGGCCTCTAGTCCCGGGGGACAGCCTGCCTATGAGGGGCTCCACTGCCCTTCACGGGCCCGTCCGCCAGCGTGTGATGGCTGTGTCCCCTTCTTGCACGGCTGGAGACATTGTCAGGGCAGCCACTTGCCTCTGTGGCTTGTGAGTGAGGGAGAGAGGTGCCATATGTGTGGGCACCAGGATGCCCCGGATCAGGGGTGTCGGCCACGGCTCCTCTCTGCCCCCCAGCCTCTGCGTGGGCAACGTGAGGCTTGATGTTGCGTTAACACTGCCCTCTCACTGGCGGCTACAACCCAGGCTGTAACTTTTTTCCAACTCATTCTCTGCTTTCACACTCAAGCCAAGTGCTCTGATACCAGAAAACCTCTCCTGGGATGGACTCTTTCTGAAGAAGCATTATTTTCCAGCTACAGTGAAAATGTGACTTTTCTCTTGAGTTACGACTTTGCCTTTTCTGTGGATTGGCTTCCTCCCATGATCATGATAAGGAGATCATGTTTATCTTCTAGTTTGTTTTTCCAACTAAAATCAAGACATTATTTCTTTCCAGTTCATGAATTTCTCTGTTTTAGGCAAAACAGGAGTGGACCAAATTTCTGTTTTGAATTGTAACAAGAGATGAACATGGCACAGTTCAGAATGCCTCTCGTGACTTCCAACTGGGCATCACTGAGACCCAAGAGTGCAAGACTTACACTACCTGAGGACTTGACTTTTTCAGGGATAATGTCTAATGCACGCAAAGGTAGAGAAAAAGAGCAAAATGAACCCCACGTCCCCCAGCTTTGCTAACTGACAGTTCACAGCCAACCCGGCTTCATCTCTGCCGTACCCACTCTCCCCCATCCCTGGATAATTCTGAAACAAATCCAGATATACTTCATCTGTGTATATTTCAGTATGTCTCTAAATCATAAGGACCCTTAAAACAAAAGCACGTTACCATTACCACACTTAAAAAGTTAACAAGTCCCTAATAGTATCAAATCCAGTCAGAATTCAGATTTTGCCAATTATCTCATGTCTTTTTAATGGTTATTTGTAAAATTCAGGATTCAGAGAAGGTCCACAGGGTGCAGTTGGTTGATGTGTTATGGCCTAGATCTCAATCTTGGGGGGGCTAAGCCTCATCAAAGGACAACTGGCCCCACTCTTTTTAAAATCTTTTTTAAAATTTTTTATCTAAATATAGTTGA